CTACATCCCTATGAATCTAGCATACCCTCTCTCTCTCTCTCTCTTTCTCTCTCTCTCTCTTTTCTTTCAAGAGAGACAAAATTATCCATCAATCTGCATCTCTATTTCTCTCTCTCTCTCTTTTTTCTTTCAAGAGAGACAAAATTATCCATCAATCTGCATCTCTATTTTTTCTTTTAAGAGAGACAAAATTATCCATCAATCTGCATCTCTATGAATCTAGCTCACCTCCTCTCTCTCTCTCTCCTAGTCAGCCATAATAATATCTTTTGAACCTCACATTTCCTCTCTCTGCTTTACAATTTTGGAAAATGGTTTAATAGGGCGGCAGCCCTTTCAAAATAAGTAAATCCTTACCTCATAACTCATCCAAAATCATAATTCTAGCATTGAAAAACCTTTACATGGATCATATTGGCTTTAACATTATGGTTGTGAAAAAAAAATAATAGAATTTTAAGTTCTAAAAATAGTATATATTGTGATAAATTATCTACGCCTTCTATTTCACCCTAACAATAAGTGTTTATAGATCCACAAGATCTGTACTATTTTTTTAGTTTCAAATCTTATTTTCATTATAGGAAATTAATTTTAGATTCATCATGGAGATTTCCATTATCAAAAGTGCTTTCCATACAAGGATTTGAGGTGAAGCTTTATTTTGTTTTCATAAAATTTAGGCCTCATAAAAACTTCACCCTATAATTTTGGGATATCCCCTAGAGTACTTGATGCGAATTTTCATATCGAAAACTTGTTTTTAAGTTTCTAAAGTCTTAGATCTGACCATTCCAAAACTGGATGGTTTCTATTCAATCTTAAGATGATCTATTTCCAGTTACATGGTAGGAAATATTATTTTTTCTTCTTTTTTTTTATTTTTATTTTTTTTTTCTTTCGTTATGGGGTTGGTCACTATGCTGAGGAGTTTGCCATTCTAAAACTTGGATTATGGATTACTCTACAATTGATAGGGAACACATGTTCTATAGCCTTTTGTTAAAGCTAAATAACTTGAAGAAAAACATTCATGAAACGGATAAATACTAGAAACCCTTTGAATGACCTGAAAAATCTATTTTCCCTATTAATTATGGACTTTAAATATCTAAAAATAATATAGACCAAGCAAACATCAATGCTCTAAATAACGCGCAACAAGATGTACCATTTTTAGAAGTATAATTACTCACTCTTGTTCTTCTTTTTAAATCCTACTTCTTGAGATCGAAACCATCACTTTCAGAATTTTCTGAACATTTTCCAACAAACGCACCTATTATCATCATATGTGAAGGCAAATATCGCTGGATCAATTCATCCTAATTTTAGCGTAAAGGACGGGCACCAAAAATTGGACAAACTTTGAATTTTTTGATAAGGAAAATAATATAAAAAAAAGGCCTTTCCACCATTTTACAATGGGATGTAGAACGTCCACATGCTATATGGAATCTAGCTTGAGTATTACAAAATAATTTTATTTTTATTTTTATTTTCTTTAAAAATATAATGATCTAAATTTGGGGAATGATATTAATTTTTGTGAGGAAAATAAAAATAATAAAAAATATTTTCAACAAAAAAATGTTGACCAAACTACTTCTAAGGGTGCTTTGGTTATTTTTTACCCAAACTATGTTATAATTACTTATATTTGGTTCCTCTTATAAAAATTAATTTACACCCTAATTTTTAGATAAATATATATTGCAATAAAAATAAAAATAAAAATTATATTTTTTGACAGTTGGATATGGCGTTGTTTGATATGACCGTGAAGGGTAATTGTGGATCCTTCCAACCGTCAACATGATGTGGTGGGAAAGAGAGGGTAGAGAGATTCACCCATATTGAGTTTTCTTTTGTAGTTCAATGGTAGGAATTGAACTTGAGATGTAGTA